TATCCGGACCAGTGAGCGACCGTCGCAGACACGTCCTGCTGACACGTCCTGCTGTCGAAATACGGCCTCATGGCGGTGGCCAGGCCTTTTTAAAACATCCGAAATAAAATCCAAAGACAAAAGTAAATCTCCTAGATAGTTGTACCCCACCCATCGCCAGGATGAGCGATGGGCTGCAGCTGCCGGGCGGGAAGGTGTGCAGGCTTCCACCGTCTCAACCAACTCCAACATTTGCTGTGTCAATAGAACAAAACAATCGCAGTATGGACCCATACAAGGCTCGGAGTTATTTTCCAGCTTGCGTTAAAAATATAGCACTTGGTAGGAGGTAGGTGCCTTTGTGATGTTCGCCGTTGTAGTGCCCCATGTCGTCACGGTGTCCAAAGTCTGCCGCCGCCATGCGCGATACACCCAGTCTCTGCTGTCCCATGAGCATGCCTTGACCACATTGCGTTTCATCAACCCTCTGTGTCGGAAAGATATGAACCGCCGATGCTCGAGGATTCCATGTATTATATACTGTACTACGGTGACAGAGATGGAGAGTATGTTCGGTAGGTGGGACATGACGTCCCCGGTCAAGACGGCAACATGCGCCCCACGACCGGCTACAAGTCTCACAACAGTGCCAGCCGAAAAAGTGCGTTTATCTGTTTTCTTCATATGTATGATAGTTTGCACAGTACTCGCTAATTTTCTCCAAGCTCCTATCATAAGTCGCCGCATACATGTGAGCACGGCCGACATGTTATCGTTGATATTGCATCAGCGTCTATCTCAATATTGCTTGATTGCTTGATTGCTTGAGAGATGAGACTCCCCACAAGCCCCAGTACGAGTGCGTCGAAACATATTCGCTCAATAGCGTGATACAGAAAATTATGTTGCGTTAGTTTGGGTCAATGAGCGCTGAAAAAATTGCCGATTCATCTTGTACTTGTGATGCTGCATACATTGAGAAGGAGACGCACAAGGGCTTCATCGGCAACAGATCCAGTCCAGCCAGTCAATCGAGGCTTGTACGTAATACAGACCTCGATCTCCCCTGGCTATAAGGATCATGTTCGATTTGCCCATGCGTCGCAGCGACGTTAAGCCACCAGATGTTTACAATATCTCCTTCCCATCCATGTGGATTGATGGTCACCAGTTGAAGTCGGGCCCAACGGCATAAGCCAAAAGAACCGCAACCGTGCACCGCGACAGTCCGAAAGGCAGGCCACTTGCCTAGTGAATAAATGGTAAACTATTTCCAGTATACTTGTACCACAATTCACGGCCCGACATACCACTGAACTCGCGGTGATGGCTTGTCGATCCATACGACCTGGGCCCCGCTGCCTGGCTGAATCAGGCTGAGCCAACACCAAAGAGCGCCACCCAAATCACCGAGCTAGTGCCTGTCTTTGTTAATTGTACTGAGCGGATAAGTTGCAGTCGCCTAGGGAAGCGTCATATATGATCCAGTCCTGATGAAACAGATCCATTGGCTCGGGCTTGGTTCCAGGGGACTTCCACATCCAGGCACAGCACGCCAGGTGTCAGCGGAGAATGAACCGGACCCAGCGTTGCTTAATGCAAGATCGTCCAAGGGAACGCGCCATGCCTACGATGGCCTTTCCCAAGCGCGAATACGGCCTGGATTTCCACAAAGGCGGCAAGGCATCGCCGACCCCTGACGCAGTCGTGCAGGCCACGCCGCCATGTTAGATTCGCGGCGGCATATCAGTGCTGCTCGTGCGATAATACGCTTGCTAAGATTCTGTTGGTAGGATCGTGTTGAAGTTGTGTGTAACAGGCCCGCATGGTCCTGTCGTGCTTTGGGTTTGTGTTCAGACGGGCGCTGCTGCATGTGGTCCAGGCTCTCCCGGGACTGGATGCTTCCACTCGGCAACATGCGCCAATAACGGAGCTGACCTCACATGTACGAGTTCGGCCAGGTCCAGGACATGCCTGCACGCGAAGCACCAGCCATGTCAGGCAGATAATGTGCTGCCTCTGATGGTCCTCGACACGCCTGCTGGCGGGGTGGTGGCATACGGCGCACTAAACAGGCGCTTATCACCCGCTGAAGCTCACTGGCCATAGCCCAAGGCGCACGAAGTGGCTTGGACCCGCATCTCCCAGGCAACGCAACGCTTTCCCTTCTGCGCAACGCTCCCCCTTCTACGCAACGCTCCCCCTTCCACGCAACGCTTTCCCTTCCGCGCAACGTTCCCCCTTCCACGCAACGCTTTCCCTTCCACGCAACGCTTTCCCTTCCACGCAACGCTTTCCCTTCCACGCAACGCTTCCCCTTCCACGCAACGCTTTCCCTTCCACGCAACATTTTCCCTTCCACGCAACATTTTCCCTTCCGCGCAACGCTCCCCCTTCCACGCAACGCTCCCCCTTCCGCGCCACGCCCACGCAACGCTCATTCAAGCCCACGTAATCTCAAGCCCCTCGCGCGACCAGCGACGCCGTCCAGGACTTGCGAGTCTCCTCCTGACCAAGGATACGAGATCGGAGCTTGCTATCATGGAACCCGTGCTCTGCATTTGTGGGCAACTCTATACAGCAAGTGGCCACAGAAGTCATCGGAAGAAGCACACATTCGTTGCTGCGAAACTATCTTCGTTGGCGAGGCGTGGCTGAACCACCGCAACACAACAGGCCATAACGGTGACAAAGTGAGCACGTGGACAAAGAGACAGGCTCGTTATCGTGAGAAGGCAGAGTGCGAGCTCGGGTGCGGGTTGGCTCTCCAACGTGACAGGATGAAAAGGCATCACAAATCAGAGCACTAAAAGAGCACGAGCACGGCACTAAGCACGTTTCTTACATGCTGGTTCCTTCACTTGACCGGGAGCACGCAGGTGCTGTTGCGGCGGCATCGACGCAGAGGAAATACGACCCCGGAATGCCTCGCGACAGCGTTGAGACTGCCCAAATGCGCACGTTCCATAATTGAAGACTTGCTTCGAGAATGCCGGAACTCGAAAAATTCTCAGCCCGGGCATACATGATAGCCTGGCACTCCTAAGCAGAACCATCTCAAACTAAAGAAGTGACGCAACGGGCGGGTTCGGGCCGCGCAGAGGCAGAGTCTTGAATTTGTCACTATGGCGGCTTCTTGCTGTTTTCTATTCCTGCCTAATATCCTTTTACTACGTATCCTAACGGCATAAAAAGCAATGGGACAGCCGATGTCCACTACCTACCTCAATATTCAGTCGTTGTCAGTCAGATGCGGCGGAACACGGACGTGAAGATTGAGGCAACACCGGTCTGCTGCAGTACGGGGACCTGCATCATACGCCGTCGGTAAGCAGCGACGAGCGGTCTGCTAAGAAATTGCAATCCGCCTCTCTGTTAGCACGGGCTCTTCTGTCGTCCCCTTTATCTCGTTATCGGGACCACCTAGGCGCCGTGTTACATCTGTCATTTAGGCCGACACCTTGTTATGTACAGTGCAGTCTTCTAGAAGCTCGGTGGCGAAACAGAGACTTTACACACTGTGGGCACTAACTCATCTCATGGCCTGCTCCCACGCGGTCAAAGGTCTGGCCAAGTACTTGCCCTCCAGGGTTTTCCCCTCATACGTAGCTAGCTAGCCTTAAGAGAAAGTGGACATTCAGACACCGGCCGCTGCCGAAGCGTTAGGTCCTGCATATTGACCGCCGCGAATGTCCGCCTTCTGATACTGTTTCTCTGGAGCACCCACTCAACGCAAATTCATCGCCAAGCAGCCACAATATATTCTCAAGACAGGATTCAAAAGGCGGCCGCTGATCTTTTCCATGTCCTTGGTGGCCCATTGCCTCTCCAACCCTCTGACACTGCACATTACTGTACACCATGATTCGTTTTGCGCTCGTTCATCTCACAATCGGCATCGCTGTTGCCCACACAATCATTGAGAGTAACGGAGATTCTTACAATCCGCAAGATGTCAGCGTGGAACAAATCTTCAAACGCACCGAGCCCGCCAGAACGTCCAGCACATGCGGTTCGCTTCCCGTCAAGTCTCCAACCTGTACCAAGACCATCACGACAACCACAGCTCCGTGTGTCACTATCTCAATCGCCGAATCGCGTTCAACACGGCCCGCTGGTCTCCCCACACCTCTACCGCCGAACTCGCAACTGGCGTGCCATACATCGCATGAGAAGGCACCGCAACCCGGCGAAGGGTTGAGCTTCGCTGCGCTGAACTTTTGCCGTGATAACTTGTACACTTACCTCGCAAACAACAGCTTTTCGCAGTGTTTCTGCCATCCTGTCCCTCCGCGTCTATTACATTTCCGAACCCTCTGCCGATCTGTTACAACTCATCAACCATCTACACATTGGCTACCTCAGCGGGACCGCAATAGTCGAATGCCTCAGCGCTGCCTTCCTGCTCAAGAATTTCCGTTTTACCTTGCGGGCCTCCGAACATACAGCGCTGCGAGGCGATCTCATCAAGTACCTCATGCGCAGCACAGAGATCCGGGTCGCCCTCCTGGCACTGATTGGTATCTCGCGCACGATTACCTTCACTTTTCAAGTTACGGCACAGAGCGCCACAACGCTGTCAGGCCAGTTCGATCGCTTTACGTACGCATTGGAGACGCTTTTCCCTGTCGTTATGTAGTATGTTGCCTTCCCTTCAGATATCAGAATCCTCGTTGTGGTTGTTTGGACTGGGACTCTAATAAAGACACCAAATAAGCATCGATATCCTCGCGTCTCGATTGATAGATATATGCCGACAACGCACGAATGAACTCTACGACAGCCCTAAGAGACGTGGGCCGACCGGACCCTTCGGCAGAATACAATCGCGTACCGGCCGTCTGACCGAACGATCAAGGAAACGCGCTACTTAATTGAGCGGCATACCACGACACGAATCGGCAACGTCGTTTTTTCGCCCACCATCTTGGTATTACTAAAACAGATGTGCTGGAAATGGCGCTTTAAGCTTCTTTGGACCTAAATTTCGAACGACGCCGTCCGAGTCATCGGCACGTGCTTCAAATGGTTGAGTCAGCCTCCGTGCCACCGCAGATGGACATGGTCATGATACCGCTAGTGAGGAGGACGTCGATGGTGGCGGAGGCATCGAGTACGACCTTGCCCGAAGGGCGGAATATCCCATGGGTGACGTTGACATTGAGTAGCAGACGGCCCGTACCGAGCCGCGCTGAGTGGACAAAGCCACGGGAAGCGATGAGTGCACGACCATCGTGGAAAACATTTGCAATTGCCTTGCCTGCGCCAAATGGAAAGTAGCGCTCGGAGCCGATGGCAGAAATCTGGTCGAGGTTCGAACGAGGCCCATAACCGAAAACGACGTTTAGGGCATCCATCGCTTCAGTGAACTTTGGGAAAACGACGTCATTTACGTCGACTTCCGTTGAAGTGAGGTACCGGAGCAGGCCATTGACAGAGATTTCGGCAGGGCCATGGATGGGTGCCTCAAATTTCAATGACGTCCTCGGCTTCCGCGGCGGTTTCCGCATGTAGGGTTATGCGGACGGGGTTGTCTGCCAAAGTGAGCCTCCCAAGCGAGTCGCTGACGGGACCATGTTGCCGACGGGCGCTGGAGCGTTTGGAGGAGCAGCCCGTGCTACTGCCCCGGCGGGTGGCGTCCTTCATCGATGTGCAGTGCAGCGCCAAATAGGTCTTAACCACGTTGGGTGACATCCGCAAGGGTACAGCAGCGCGCTGGTTGGAGTAAGTTAGAAGTCCTTCGGACTCAATCAACACTTACATCATTTGCCCCAATCGGTGCTTCAGCTATGGGCATTCCAGACGCAAAATAATTATTGAATACCAACACTTTTCCGGCAGCCGGCATCCGGTTCCGTGCGTGGGCTTTGTGTCCATGGTGACACGGCTTCCGCTGTGGCGCCGGGATTTGGTAAGTGTAGTTCTAGTAACGCCCCCCGGGGGGGGGG